CCCCCGATGGCCTGATCCATTTGCTGCAACAATGCTCAAGCACAACAACAACTGTGAGGCTCTGAGGTAGGGAGTCTTTCTGTTGCACACAGGGCCACGGGGAGTCCAAACAGACTCTTGAGCTCCCAGCAACAATGGCAGTCACAACTTCAGTTCAGAAAGATCAGAAAGGCCCAGCGAGAAATCACAAAAGAAGGCAGAGTTGTCTGATATTAGACCACCCGCCTTGTTTTTAATTAGGAAAAAAAGATCCACCCTGAATGTTTTGCTTTTAGTTCAAAGTTTATGCTTATGACTCTCCAGTCATTTGAAATTGTTTTGAGAACACACATAATAAAGTATATGCCATCTCAACAATTTCTACATGTGTTGTTCCGAAAGTGCATGGGCCACATTCCTGAAGTCCTGCAGCCAATCTCGCTATCAGCTATAATTGCTGTTCCAGTTAACAAACCTATCTCACGAAGCAGACTACTAGGTTAAATGGAAAGAATCTATGATGCTCAGAGGCTTATAAGATGAGCTCATACAATCAAATCAGAAGAAAGTCACTTACCGTAAGAAATCAATAGAAGGACAAAAGGAACATTTTTAACGAGGTTCTTCATGGATTTCTTATAGGAATAGTCTTCAGGAGGACTCCTTTGGACAGCGGCTTGAGCCTGGCTTGGTGGATGCTCAGGCTTTTCTTTGAAGACTGGAAACATACATGAAAAGGCAAATAAAGATATTTATCCACTTATCTACATACACCTACTTCTCACTCTCAATGTGGTGAGCTTCCAAAGACTAGGTTGTTGTGTGAAAACCAGCATGATGGAAGACCTGTCTGACTTCCTTATCTGCCTCCTTCCAGTCTCCGGCAGACACTGCTTCAAGGATGCCCAGCAGTGGTGGCAGGTGAGGATCCTGAAGGTCACAGCCTGCCCTTGGGCAGTGGCTCCCAACTCTCCCCGGTTCACTGTGCTCTTCTACTACATACACCCCCTCCCCCGCCCTACTGACTGGATCCATATAAATCAGAATCGACTGCACAGCTAGGGGTTCGGTTTTTCCGGCACTGGAGTAGCTAAAGGACTCTTGGGCACTGCAATTAAACTTTTTCTCCCAAGTTGAATGAGTGCTTGCTGTAATCAGATTAGAACACATTCTTTCAATTTCATCATTTGTCCATGTGAAGTTAAAGCAGGTATTACACATTTTAACTCATTGTAAGGCAAATACAAGCTTGAATCCTGGCTCTGTCCCATCTCAGTGCATATCTTTAAAGAAGTCTCCAGACTTTAGCTTTCGTGTTCATGAAATGAAAATAAAATTTTCTTCATGAGGATCATATAGCAGGTAAAGATTAATTTACTGTAGCTCAAGTAATTTGGCCTTTGTCCTTGGTTCCAGAGATCATTCAGAAACCCTTGGCATTTCTTTTGCTATCTAAATCACATCCGAGGATTTATGATAATGGCTAAGGACAGGCAAGAGCAGAAAACCACCACTTGGCCTGGTACCCTACCTTCAGAGGAAGGGGAGGGCTGAGCCAGTGAACTAGACAATGAAGCCAATAAAGGCTTTGGGCATGGCCGGTTCAAGGACTTCCTGATTGGTGAGGCACTCAGGGAGTGCGCAGATAAGAGACTCCTTTGGGACATGGAAACTCTGTTGGGAACCCTCCCCCCAGACCTCGCCCTCGGTGTCTCTTCATTGCTGTTCTGTTTCTTTCATATAATAAAACTCCACTTCCAAGTGTATCGTGTGAGTTGTAGGAGTGGTCGGAACCAGCAGGTCAGGATGAGGGTGTCGTGTGTGCGCTCACACTCACAGGTGGCATCTGCCTTGGTTGGCAGTTGAAAGACAGTGTCCCTTTAACTTGTGAGCTCTGACTTAGTTCTGGGTGGCTGGGGTCAGATAAAGAACTACAGTTATGCAGTTGGCATCTGAAGTGACACATTCGTAGAAAAGAATTTTGTATTTATCAAGTACTATTCTGAGGAATATTCATTAAAAAAAAAATCAAACGCTTTGTCTCGGGGGTTTAGAGTATATTGTAGACTGAGTGAAATATATTTCTGTTCCAAGTTTATATTGGTAGTCTGTATGCTATCTTGCTATGCAGCCATCAAAATTAAAACTTTCAACAGATGATACACACTAGTGTTTCAATACATTGAGATGAAACGTTTTGATGGCCATGACTGCTTATGCTACAATGTACCCAGTCATGTGTCAATCACTCACTTAAAAAAGTAAGCATGGTAACAATGTTAATACCCAGGGGTCTGAAAAGCTCATAAGCCGCCATCTAAGGCACAACCATTGGTTTCTGATCATCCGAAGGAAGGAGAGTGATGAAAAAAAGACACATGGAAATCATTAGTCCAATGGACTAATGGACCACACAGACATCTGCCTCCACTGCCCTGAGACCAGGGAACGAGAAGGTGTCAGTTACTGCTACCTACTGCTCTGAACAGGCTCACATAAGAAGGTCCCACGCAGAGTGGAAGGAGAACATGGAGCAGCTCCAAGTCATGAAAGAGGCCAGGCGTACTCATCAGATAGAGCTGGGTGGGACTACCTAAGACTATCGTCATTTGTCACCCGTCAGGTCCAAGGGAGCGTACCCCTCTCCCCCAGCCTTTCCCTATTAAAATGATTGACTGGGAAGATCAAAGGGGAAGCATGTACCCAAGGCCAGAGGGCTAGGAAGGGAAGAATGGCCACAGGAAAAGGAGCCACTCACTGGGAAGACCATGAGATAAGCCCTGGCACATCGCGAGGATGGAAACTGAGGAAACAAAATGTGTCCACATGAACAGAAGACTCATCATCTGCTGTTCTCAAAACCTTCCTGTAAAACACAATAAAAAACTTTTTTTTTTTTTCGGGGGTTTAAATGGAGAGAAAATGTTTTGAGAAACGATGTACAAATGCGCTTTACACAATTGATGTGTGTATGGATTGGGATAACAGTTGTATGAGCCCCTAATAAAATGTTAAAAAAAAACAAAAAAAAGCAACATTTTTTTAAAGATCTGAATACTTGTAGATCTAGTTCAGTGATATCGTTTTCTGCTCTGCTGTAAAGGCACAACTGTCAAATACAGCAGCAATGCCAATTATGAAAGAGGGATTTGAATCGGCACACAAAAAAGCAAGCTGAAGTAAAAATTTTCATCATGGAGTAATGAATCACATGAAGGAGCTTCAAAAGGCTTGTGAGAAAAACCTATTATCTTTTCATGCCATCTTTCCACGCATCTTTTGAAGCCTCCTCGTATCTGTAAATATATGTAGATATACATAGATAGGTAGATTGCCAAAATTCAAATCTCCAGTCTTCACTATCTCTGACCTCAGGCAAATGATCGACAGCTACTTGAGTCCTGTACCTTAGTTTTCCTTGTCTATAAAATACTGCTCTGGCTCCCACTACTTTTCAGCTAAATTCTATAATTCGGTGCAATGGCCCCACAGAACTCAAAGAAACAATGCTTACGATCAGGGAGTTTATAACAGAAATTAAGAAGTTAATTAATCGCTACTAGGCTAATTCAGGTGAAAAATGCTCAGGACACAGTTGTTCAATGAGCACGTGTTACAAGTTGTTTTAGAGCTGATACTAAACGCCCCTAGAGCATGCTGCTCTGCTGTAAGCCGCAACCCCAGGCACTGCACTCCCCTTCAGCTCCATGGGTTAGCAAATGCAGGTCCCCCAATGAGATGCTCAGCGCCCCCCACCTCCACCCCCAAGCTAGTCTCCTGCCCCAAAGCACTCAGCTTTACTTGCTCTGTAGGCTGGGAAACAGACCTGCTGCTCCTGTCCTGTTGCCACCCCTCTGTCACTCCTCACCGTCAAAGCTCTCCTCTGGAGAAAGGAGGTTTGCTGCACAGGGGTCTCAGGGCTGAGAGCAACCAAGTCAGCTGCCATCACACCAATTCTCACCCGTGGCTCAATGGCGGGCCTCCCGACACAGGAGAAAGGCAGTAAGAGTAGATGTGCCAACCTAAGGAGTGAGAGTTGAGAGCCCAAGTCAAGGCTTCCTGGTAGAGTACGGTACTCTGGGCACTTATTGGTAGAGCTAAAGAGCTCCGTACAAGTTGCCTCAGCAGAACAGATGCTGGGTCAAGGGACTTAGGGGCCGAGGACCAGAGAGAGGCCTGCCTATAAGCAAAGCTGGGAAGAGGGTGTTCTGAGTAATTCCCTCCTAAATCCCATCATCTGATTATTGTCTATACATTCTGTGTCACCATTAGCACCAATGACTGACCCCACAGAGGGACAGAATGCCGTGGCAAGCACAGCTGGTGTCAGGATTGGTGAAGAGGAGGTTATGTCTGACCTCTACGTCACAGGCGTCAGTCTGACAGTGATGCTGATGCTCGCCCCCCTCAAAAAGTCAGAGGAGGTCAGACACACCTGCCACACCATTTTTACGGCCAAGAAGAACCTTTACCTAAGTAAACATTTTTAAATGAATTCAAATTTTCCTCAATAGCAAATATTTGGGTATGAGGAATCTAAGTTACTTTTCAGTTTAAATCTCACAGGTTCTTGTTTCTAAGCCCTTTTTGTTTTAAGAAGCTCTCCATTACAACTTCATATTATCTTCTTTTAGTAATAAGCCTGGAGTCATGAGTTTTTAACATTATGGTCTGCCAAGTAAAACTTGACACACGGCACTTTTCTCACTCCACTCTCATGATGATCTTTGTCTTCTTTCCACTCCCAACCGGTCTGTCCATAAATACATAACTTGTTCTTTCTTAATTTCCCAAATATTCTGTCAATAGCCACACCTAGCATCATCACTCTTCGGCTCCTGGCTCCTTGGCTGAATGCAAGCCTTACATTTGTAGTGGTTTAAGCGCATGTGTGCTTATATAACCCTAAGCATATCATTTATTACTCTCTCCTTTCTACCCAAGAGATACGTGATTGAAGATGACAAGGGGAGAAAAGAAAAGAAAAAAAACCAGCATGTGTGTCAAGAAATAAGGATTCAAAGTAAAGAGAATTTCATGCTTTAAATCCCTACTGCCAATTACAACAAAAGGCATATGCCCGATATCGCCCATCTCATCTGGCAAATCAGAGATGGCGATCAGAAAAGCTGATTTCTAATTCTTTAAAAATATCTAGATTTCTTTTAAAACTTTCAGACGCTCTTAAAACTGTAATCTGTCCCTCTTCATCATCTGCATACCACAGACCTGCCACTCCCTGACTGAAAGCATCAAACCAGCAAAGAATCTGGCAGCATCCCTCTAATGCTACCAGGGAGACATGGGTCACTAACTTCGGGGAGATTAAGGGTGTGGCTCCAGCATGTGGCATCTTCACTCGCTATGGGTAAACTCTTTACAGCTTTCAGTGTGTCCGAGGGGGTACCCTCCCAAAAAACCAGAACTTTCCCCCCAAACCTATGTATTTAACTTTTTGTACAAAACAACCTTATCACCTTCAACGTACTCTTCATTACACTTAGTACATTTGTCAAATCTGCGATCTCATTCTTGGAAACATTTATCAAACTCATCTGTTTGGATGGCTGACAGCACCTCCAAAGAAGAGGTTTTTAATTCACCTCTTCTACATCCTCAAATCGTTGTCCTTTCATGTCCCTCTTCATTCATGGAAACAAAAAGAAGTCACACTGTGCTCGGTCAGGTGAGTAAGGAGCATAGGGCAAGGGAGGCATTTTGTTGTTGTTGTTGCCCCAAACTGGCACACTGAGATGGTTGTGTGAGCAGATGCATTGTCGTGGTGGCAAAACCAGTCCCCTGTCTGCCACAAATCAGACCTTTTTTGTCACACACTGTTATGCAATCTTTTCAGAATCTCTAAATAGAAATCTTGATTAACAGTCTGACCTGGTAGAAGGAACTCCAAATGTACTAGGAGTTGACATTTTCATCCGTTCAGGACGTTGACAGATGTCCAGAATGAGGTTTGTTATTGGTCATCATTTCACCTTTTTGAAACAAGAAAACCACTCATACATTTGAGTGTTTCCCATAGCGGTGTCCTTTTAAGCTGAGTTCAACATCACAACAGTTCCTGCAGCATTATTCCCTGAGCAGGAATCAAAATTTCACAGCTGCACACTGTTCTCTTAAATCGGCCATCACAAAATAAAGAGGTTTGAATGAAACAGTTTTTCCAAAAAAATTCACTGTGACCAGAGAGAACCTTCCTAGGTGACGCCACTGGGTGCACTAACCCAGAGCAAGTTGCTTTAGTCTCACCTAGTGGGAAAAATGCATACTATGAAAGCCCTGCCCAGCACAGCTTTTCCATTTCTTTTTGGGTACCCCCTTGTATAGTCTTTGAAAACTCTGAGGCTTTCCTATATGGAGATCATAAAGCCTGAATCTCTCACCACTGGGACAGCCATCATGAATGTTAACATTTAATGAGAAGCTCCAGCGAAGGTGCAGTTTAATGTAAGCATTCATGAAAGGTAATGAAAAGATAGCCTTTACAACTGTATTGATCCTTTCCTCATCAAGCCAAATTCAGATGGATTGAGTGACGACAGGGCAATACTACAGATCAGGTTCCTGCTGTCAGTGGTGATCATTAATGAAAAACACTTTACCTATCCTTTCCTACAAAATCCTAAACTTGTTTCTCATTAGAAATGAACTTAAATGGCAGACCTTCCCAAAGCGTCTTCCGAATGGACGGAGGCTGCTGGCAGCTGAGGGGGACTGACTGCTTCCAGAGACAGGCCCGGGCAAGAGGACGCAGTGGAGAATGGTGGCCGCAGGGCTTTGCTGGAGTGGCCTAACAAGGAGACAGTTGCCACAGTTTGAATCTGCAACACAGCTTCCTGGTCCCCAAGATCATTTTGAAGCCGAATGGGGCATGCGTGGGAGGATTGATCATGAAAACCAATGCTGCCGTCTACTTGCGTTCTTTCAAAGCATGACAAGAACTCGTCCTGGTTAAGAGAGCGTGTCGCTAGCCCACTTGATCCTGATTCCTGAATCTGAATCAGGGGCGCAGAGCAGAACTGCCCCACGGGGCTTTCATGGCCGAGACCTTTCAGAAGAGAGAAATCGCCAGGTCTGTCTTTGGAAAGTGGGTTCGAACCACCAACCTGTGCCACCCCGTTGGGCCTAAGAAACAGAATATTGAGAGGCATGTGGAAAAGAAGAGGCAGGAAGTACCTATGGAGCCAACCGTTACCGGGAAGAAAAGTTAGTAGGGAGAGACATGAGATGAATTAGTCTTCAGAGTCTTTTGGATGTTCCGATGGATGCAATGCGTCATGACCCCTCTCCAGGGTTGCGGCACTCATAACGGGAGCAAGCCCATGCCCGTCAGGAGGGCAAGCAGCACAGAGCGTTAGAGATACCCTGAGTCAAGTGTTGCAACATGGTTTCTTGAGCTTCAGCAAAAATAAGGCGCTTACCAATGGCTGCTAAAAGGAATAGAAGTGTGGAGACGGTTGCGGTGCCATAAAACATGGTGCTGATATTGCAGGCCAGGTCAATGCTGTTGTTCGTGTTGGGCACTAAAACTGGTGGGAGCAAAAAGCCAATTGCAGTCCCAAGCTGTAAAACAAACAGTCCAGTCAACAGCAAATATTCCATCCCCATCCACCCACCAAACCCACTGCCCTCGAGCCCATTTGGACCCATAGCAGCCCTGTACTGGGTTCCCGAGGCAGTAACTCTTTACAGGAGAGGACAGACTCCTCTCACCTGCAGAGCAGTTGGGGGGGTTGAAACGCTGACCTTGTAGTTGGCAACCCAATGGCACCACCAGGGCTCCTTACAGTTATCCTACGAAGGGTGGGGTGCATAATGGCAAATAATAGGACCTCAGGAGATAGCTTATGTCGGTAAATGGGCTTTGTGAACTCTGAAGCATTATGTGCTACTGTCTTTGTTTTGAATGTACCGTGAATGGAGAATTACCTACAACACTTTCCTGTGGAACATACATTTACTGAACTTCTGTTATCTGAATGATACTGCTACAAAGATGTGTCCTGGACTTTTAAATGCTTACAATACGGGGGCATGGGGGTGGCAAACATGCCAAATAAGGACCAAAAGAGATGAAAAGAAAATGCTGGCAAATCATGTATCTGCTAAAGATCTAGCATAAAGATGAAATATACAAAGAACTCTTACAATTCAACAAGAGGAAGTCAAACAATCCAGTTTTAAAATGGGCCAGGAACTCGAAGAGACGTCTCCGGAATGACAAACAAATGGCCAGAAATACATGAGCAGATGCTCAGCATCCATCACGAGTCATTAGGGAAATCAAATCAAGCACACAATGGGATTCCATGTTGAGCCATTGTTGTGTGCCACCGAATCGATTCAAACTCACAGCGACCCCAGCGACACAACAGAGCAGAACAGCCCCAAAGGTGACACCCCCCAACAGGCTGTCCTCTTTCTGGAAGCAGACTGCCTATCTTTCTGCTGCTGCGAGGCTGCTAAGTCCAAACTGCCAACCTTTGTAGTAACAGCGAGCACTGCACCACCGCGTTCCTCCTCCATCTTTTGTTTAAATCACTTTACCGGGGGCTTGTACAACCAGATCAAGGTAATGGTTGCACAACATTGTGAATGCACCAAATGCCACCGAACTGTTGCATAGGTTAATTTTGCCTATAATAAGGCTGAATATGATCATTGTAATAAGAAATCAAATCAAATTAGTAAGGAAATTCCATGGAGGGAGATAGTCAGAGGAAGTTGAGGAGAAAGGGCCCAAGAGAGGTTTCAAGAAGCTGAGATAAAGGTACAAAGTTTACTAAACACGAGGAGGCTTCAAAAATTCATGGAGAAACAGAATTAAAAGATAATGGAATTTTCCTACAAACTTTGCAAAACTCCCTCCCGTCCCATTTGCTCCCTTACAAAAAGCCTGAGAAAATTAAGCAGGTGATTATCATAGAGTGTAGTAAGTATAGTACTGTGAGTCTTAGCATCCTTGTAACTTATCCAAACCAGAGCATGCTTGGAGTGGAAGAGGCACCATTAGAATGACTCTAGAGAGCAAGTGCACACCTGGACTGGTCCATCAAAGGAGGGCACCTGGTCATTCTAGCTGAGGGGCACAATGGAGGACCCCCTTGGGCAGACGTGGGCTCAAGGAACCTTTCTGGAGAAGCAAACATCTGAAAATGCTGAGGTGGCCAAGCAAAGCAGACATGTTGCAAGCCAAGAGAACGGTGTGGACAGAGGCCAGAAAAGAGAGTGCGTGCCCTTGGGAGAGACGGGAAGTAGTGGACAGTGGAGAGAGAGAGAGAGAGAGAGAGAGAGGAGAATGGCACTGTGTAGGGAGAGGGGGCTGCAGAGTCCACAGGAGGCAGATCTGGAAAGGCTTACAAGTCACATTAGAGAATTTGCATTTTATCCCAAGGGCAACCGAAGCCACTTTAGGGGACAGAGGAGTGACCTGAACAGGTCTGCACACGTGAACACACTGGGTAACTGTGAAGACTGGAGGGCAGAAAGCAAGGCTACAGATCTGGAAACCAGCCAGCAAGCTCTGGGTGAGAGGCGAGAGGGTAGCCAAAGCCAAGTTCATAGCAGTAAAGTACAATGAGTGATGGGTTCTTATGAGATATCCCAGTAGAAATATGAAGCTGGCTGGGGACTATCTGAGTCTGAAGCTCTTTCATCTGTCCGCCAAGTTTTGGGCTTTTTTTTTTTTTAAGAGCCTGCAGTGGATTGAGGTGTGTATTTTCAGACCATGTGTCAATTGAATCTAATGAAGAAGACTAGAGACAACGAATGAACAATAAACATATAAGCAACACACACAACATGCCTAGCAGTGAGAAGTACTTATATGGGTAACTAAAAGTAGAGTGATGACATAACAGTGACTGGGGCTCTATAATAAAATTGTCAAGAAATGGCATTTAATAGGAGGCAAAGCTATTTATAGAGGTATAGCTATAGACATGCATATATGTAAATATATTACTTTATAATGAAAGGGATAGCGGCCAATGTACTTATATTTATATGATAAGTATTAAGATAGCAGACAGACTTTGGGCCTCTACTCAAGGCCTCCCTTAACACAAGAACACTTTGTTCTAATAACCTGGCATTCTATGATGCTCACCTTCCCTGACACAATTGCTGAAGACAAAATGGGTGCATAAGCAAATGTGGTGAAGAGAGCGGATAGTGCCCAGCTATCAAAAATATAGTGTCTGGAGTCTTAAAGGTTTGAAGATAAACAACTGGTCATCTAGCTGAGAAGCAACAAAGCCCACATGGAAGAAGCACACTAGCCTGTGTGATCATGAGGTGTCGATAGGATCAGGTATCAGGCATCAAAGAACAAAAGATCATATCATTGTGAATGAGGGGGAGTGTGGAGTGGAGACCCAAAGCCCATCTGTAGACAATTGGACATCCCCCCACAGAAGGGTTATAAGGAAGGGATGATCCAACCAAGGTGCAGTGTAGCACCGATGAATCACACATAATTCCTCTAATCTCAGAATGCTTCTTCCCCCTCACTACCACGACCCATTTCTACCTTACAAATTTGGCTAGACCTGAGAACACATATTGGTACAGATAAGCGTTCTCGACACAGGGAATTCAGGAAAGATAAACCCCTCAGATATAGTAATGGGAGTAGTGATATCCTTAAGGCAGGGGGGATGGTCAGGTAGGGGGAAGGGTGAGAAGTGAGGACCCCAGCACAAGATTGGATTCATAGCCCCCCCGCTTCAAGAAGGGGGTGAATAAAGGAAATGTGGGTGAAGGGAGACAAAGGACAGTGTAAGACATGAAATAACAACAATAATATAGAGTAGATCAAGGATAAAGGAGGGTGGAAGGGTTGGGGGAGGCAGGGGGAAAAAGAGGAGCTTATATCAAGGACTGAAGCAGAAAATGTCTTGGAAATGACGATGGCAACATATGTACAGATATGCTTGATAAAATTGATGTATGGAATGTTATATGAGCTGTAAGTGCTTCCCCCTTCCCCAATAAAATGCTGGGGAGAAAAATGTCATTTAAAATAATGTAAGCTGAGAGCTGAAGGTAAATGTGGGTGAAATTGTGTGGCCCAAGAAAAAACATTCCAGGCACAAGGAATGCTTCGGCAAAAGCCCTTGGCAAGTAGAAGTGCAGTGTTCTCTACGGAATCAACAACAACCTGGTCAACTGTGGCTCACAGTGATCCTTTAGGCCAGAGGAAATGGCCCCTCTCTCCTTGCCCAATGCCGGACGATTGTATGGATCAGAAAGCCCCTCCTCGGGGAGCACCTGGGGGTTTCACCCCACAGACTGCATGGTGTGCTGCTCAGAGCATGATCCCCCACCACCAGGGCGCCTCCTGAATGAACTAATGAAGGCCAGTGTTAGTGAAGATTTGGAAGCCAGAGTAAAACATTAGTCCTCTGGGAAATTACCAGAAAGTCTGAAGCAGTGTGGTGACTTGTTCTATATTTTAAAAGTTTCTTCAAGCAAGAGACCTGGTAGAAGGGCTGGTTAGACAGGTGAGAGGATTCAAGAATCATACAGACTTCAGTGTGAATGTTGCCACTAACTAGCTGGGTGACTTTGGGGACATAATTTTGTTCTTCCAAGTCTGTTTCCTTCCCTATAAAATGGAGACTAATCATTCTTACTGTACACATTAGATGACACGGTACACAGAACGCACTCAACACAGGGCCAGGCTGGCAGGGATTGCTCAGTAATACTGAATATCATTGTAGTGATTATTCCATGAGCTAAGCAGCCAGGCTTATTTGAAAGTCACGAGCAAGTGCACAGCTACTGGTGCCAAGGAAAAGATGAAAACGCCTTAGGGGAAAGTAGGGCAAAGGCTTCAAGGTGTGTTCCCTGTTAGAGGGAATCCTGACTCAGAGAAAACGCCTCCACATATCCTCCACAAGGAGGATATGGGGGTTAGAATACTGCCATGCTCAACAAAGTATTCAACTTGAACACAATTTTGTCCCTGTAAAATACTTTAGGAAATCAAGCAGAAGTAAACCACTACAATACCAGTCAAATTGCTTTGGATGCAGAATAACAAGAGCTCAAGCTACCCTGTCTTCTGTACTCCTAGTGGAAAAAACATATAAAGCTAAAAGCATGTAGCTTTAGACCATCGCTTCTGCATTTTAAAGGAACCCTGGTGGTGCAGTGTTTAACTGCTCAGTTGCTAACTGAAAAGTGGGTGCTTTAAACCTACCAGCCACTCCCTAGGAGACAGGTGTGGCAGCGGCTTGTGTCCAGGTTTACAGGCGTACAGACTGAACAGCACAGCTCCTGTCTGGTAGTCACGTTGAGTCGAAATCTACTCAATGGCAGGGTATGGTTGTTTTATTTTGGTTTTGGTCTTTATGTGTTTTAAATAAACCTCATTGATCTTGAAACAAGTATCAGGCCTAAAATAAGAGAGTAACCTTTTGTTACTTAGCTACATGTCGTTTTTTTATGCATAACTTGTTTCTAGTTGCCCTTGCATCAAGGCAAGCCCTTCTGCTGGGTGGAACTGCTTCTTAGGGCCTTCAGGGGTATCACCTCTCAGAAGCAGATGCCAGGGCTGTCATCCTAGGCATGGCCTGGTGGGTTCAAAGTACCAACATGGAGGTAAAATCTACTGTTTGCAGATTTCTAACTAAGTCCTCTTCCAGCTGAATGAACACCCAGTGTAATTTACATATAATGTCCCAGACCCCATATGTCAAATTTAAATGATAATTTAAAAGATCGGTTTGCAATTTCATATAAAACAAATCACCATGCTACTGGAATACCAGTGACACTGGAACCGACAGTGTTAAGACTAGGCAGTTCCTTGATGCAAACTTGGTAAATCCAGCCACCGGTTTACAATAGATTCCACAAACTTTGGTTTTTCTTGCATTATCTTTCTATTAAAAACTGCTCATTGGACTCGGTCATTCTGTGAAGAGTTGATGAGTGATCACTTGATCATGACAGAATCATGTTGATTTCTCTGTTACTGCCCTCTAGGTTAAGTAGCATGGGGATGCTGTAGTGTGCGACAGAAAAAAAGACGTGTTCTTTATTGACTTTTATTTAAATAGTTGTATTAAACAGCAAATATTAATGAGAATGCCTTTGGACAAAGTAGCTATGCATTTACAAATTCAAATATGCCTTGCCAGCCTAGATTATGGCATGATCATTACAGTACCATTCAATATCAGTGAGCCTGGCCCCTTGCGGAGTGCTTCCTATGCACTGTCATTTAATGTTAGGAGGTAAAAACGATTAGTCTCCATATTATAGGTATGAAAACAGAGTCTTGGAGAGACAAAATTATTTTCCCAAAGTCACCAGCTAGTTATAATATTAATGCTGTCATGACACAATGGGTTATGAATTGGGCTGCTAGCTGAAAGGTCAGGTCAGCAGTTCAGGCTCACCATCTACCAGGAGGGAGAAAGAGGCAGGCAGTCTGCTCCTGTCAGGGTTTTGTCTTAGAACCTCAAGGAGCAGCGCTGCTGGTCTTCTAGGGCTGCCTGAAGTCCAAATCAACTCCATGGCAGTGGGGGTGGGAATAAACTCTCCCAGACTAAACATACTGGTTGAAATACAAATGTCAGCATGTAATAAAACTCAGGACATATTTTAAATATTTATGAAAACAAATGGGTGAACTACAAATATTAACATGTGATAAGAACCCAGGAAATGTCTGAAATGTATCTAGGAACAGGTTTGTTTAAAACGAAGGATTGTGAATATTGTACATTTAATTCCCTCACTAAGGACTGTGAACATTCCTGTATTCTTTCATGTGCACTAGAGAATACTGCTGTGCAAAGTTTTGTGTACAATTATTGTGAACACTTTCTTCTTTATTTTTACCCCAAGTTTCCCCTAATGTGAGACACATACCAAGCAAGAAAATAGAAAAACAAACTTTTATATTAGCCCCTGGGCTAATAGCTGATAGATTTATAAAATTAAACAGGGGCTGTGCACAATGACTCATCAAAATGGAAACAAACACCCAGAATCTAGCCCCTTCCTTTGCAAAGAATACACTGCTGGCAGATATAATACCCACTCAGGTCGTATTCACTATTCTCATAGCAAACTGCATGTAATGCCAGGTGCACAAGATGCAAACCTTACTTATTTCATGATTATTTTTCCAAGTAAGAGACAAAGTTGGCACTTAAGACTGATTTATTAAGTGGTAAAGGCAAGGTCAGCAGTTCTAACTCCGCAGCTGCTCCCCAGGAGAAAGAAAAGGCTGTCTGCTCCCATAAAAATGTACATCCTCAAAAAAAAAAAAATTTACAGCCTCTATATAGTAGCGCTATGAATCTGATTCTACTCACTGGCAGTGGTAGGGGGTTGGCGGTGGGACTGGGGAGCGATGTGTGTATGGGTGTGTGTGGGGGGTGGGGGGGTCATATTGATCCTCACAAAACAATAAATTCTCTCTACTCCAAGACTGTCTCATTTCTCGTGACTCCTATTTCCACTCTCCTTCACGTAGTGGCGAAATATAGCCCGAGGGGCCATCCATATGTCTAGCCGGTTTCTTGTCTTTCAAGGGCTTGATTTTCATGCGTCACCCCAGTTCTTACCTGATTGCCCAGGACAGCGGTGGCACAGGCTGTGGACACCTCCTTGGGTCCAAACCACACGGAGGCGATGCGGGAGGGCAAGCCCAGGATGAACACCTGGGCCACCGAGCACAGGCACTGGCCCAGCATGGTGACCCAGAAGAGGTGTTGCTGCACGCTGCCGCACTTGATCCAGGCACCCAGGGCGTTGAGGCCGCTGCCCAGCAGCGCGGTGAGCCGCAGGCCTCTGGTGTCCAGCAGCCAGGTGGCGGGGAAGATGAGGGGCACGTAGGCCAGCATGTACACCATGGACAGCCAGGCGATGTGCAGCGAGGACACCTTGTAGAAGCCCTCGAAGACGTTGCTGATGATGCTGTACTGGATCCACTGGAAGGCGTTGACCAGCGAGTACAGGCTGAAGATCAGGAGCACCGCGAAGCGCCGCACGGAGAGCGAGATCCTGGGCACAGGCGTGTCCTCAGCCCCTGGGGTGCCCTCGTCGGGGCCCGAGGGCAGCAGCCGGGCCTGGGTCTCCTCCTCCAAGGCCAGCGGGGTTTGCGACCCGCCCAGAGCCTTGGGAGCTGCTCCAGAGCGGTCTACAGGGTCCAAGTTCAGGACTAGGCAGCCGGCTTTGGGCCCGTTCCGCTGCTCCGCGCTCCTGTCCGGGATGCGCGCGTCCCCCAGGACCGGGAGGTACCCGTTCGCGAGCGGGCGCTCCGGGTCCTCGGTTGCCTGCTCTTCGTTGTCCGGCCGCGCCATGTCTCTGGGGCTCCGGCGCCTCCCTCCTTCCTAACCCTGCGCCCCGCACCGGCAGGAGCCACCTGCCCGAGCCTCTCCCCGGGCTCTGCTGTAGTCGGAGCGCGCGCCGAGCGGCAACTGGGCTGCAAGGCCGGCGGACACTCAGTCCTCCCCACGGCCCCCGCAACAAGCCCGGCCCCAGCGCTCCCCAGCTCCGCGCGGCGGCCGCCCACCGGCCAATCGGAACGGGTTTGCTCCCCCAGGGAGCCAATCCGGAGAGCTGGCGTGAAAGTCGGGGCGGGGCGAGCTGCCCGGGAGGAAGGCTGGGCCGGGCCCTCCTGCCGGGGGATGCCGGGGTGCCGGAGCCTCTCGGCTCCCCGCGTGGGGAGGAAGAGGCCGTCGGGCTGCGCGCAGGGGCGGGCGCCGGGCACCGGGCGGAAAGGCCAGGCGGCATCACGCTCCCCAGGAAGGGGTGCTCCGCAGGGCGGGGGCCTGGGCGCAGGTGGAGGACGGGTGTGGGGTATCGTGCCCCGCACCGCAAGGTCGACCCTGCCTTTAGAGCAGTTTGAGCACGTTTCGTAAATTCGTGCTTTCTCGGCCGCAGCTAGCGTTCCAATCGGATCGAGAAAGAGATTTCATCAGCCAGCCGCGCGGGTGAGGCGGAAATCCCCACCCCCATCCGCTGGCTGGCGTCACCGGGGGAAACGCGCAAAAGCCTGAGCCAGACCGGTGGCCCCACATTCCTCCTGCGGCCAATACCTGGAGTTAATATTTACCGGACGCACACACACACCAGTGGGTTCCGGGGACCAAACTCGCTGAAACAGTATGTGCTACAGATGTTTGTGGGCTCTGGGAAATAGAAGATGGTTGTTGTTTTTAATGAAAATGAGGCAATGGAGGTATGTATGGATTGTGATAAGAGTTGTACGAAACCCTAGTAAAATGATTAAAAAATAAATATACCCCCCAAAAGAAAATGAGGTATAGATCCTGCCCTCAGAAATACACGTAGACCTACCTTGCAGGTCTTTCAGTGTTAGAGAAAACTTTTATTTTCAGAACTGAAATTGAAAAAAAAAAAAGCAAAAGACTATAAGCATCCACTATTAAAATGAAGTAAGTTTAATCTTTTTTAAAAATGCTGCCATTCAGGATTCTAAAACACTATACTTTCCTTTTATTGCCTATACCACTGTTATTTTGATACTGAATAAAAATGTATCCTGAACCTCCCGGTTCTGGTGAAATACTGCTACATGGTTCTAAATGCAAGCATTGTACTAAGCTTCCTTAACCATCCTATATAAATTGCCACACACCCTTACCATCTACCCCCACCTGTTTGTTTTTCTTTTTAACACTTAATCACCTCCTAAAATGCAATGCCATTACTGGGCATATCAAAAGAAATAAAGCAGATCATGAGCAGACGTATGCTCCCCATGTTCATTGCAGCACAGTTCACAATAACAAGAAGTAGGAAACACCCTAAATTCCCATCAGTAGAAGAGTGGATAAAAAATTCTGGTATGACCCAGAACAAAATTATACCCAATGTGAATGATAGGGCGGGCATGGAGTGGAGACCCAATGCCCATCTGTAGACAATTGGACAGCCCCTCAGAGGGGTCACAGGGAAGAGATAAGCCAGTTTGGGTGCAGTATAGCACCGATCAAATACACTCAACTTTCCTCTAGTTCTTTAATGCTTCTTTCCTCCCACTATCATGACCTCAATTCTACCTAACAAATCGGATGAGACCAGAGCATGCCCACTGCTACAGATAAGAGCCGGAAACATAGGGAATCCAGGATAGATAAGCCCCTCAGGGCCAACAATGAGAGTACAGATACCAGGAGGATTAGGTGGGGGGAGGAGGAATTGATCACAAGGATCAATCTAGAACCCCCTCCCAGGGGGATGAACAAGGGAAAAGTGGGTGAGGGGTGACTGAGGACGATGTTAAGAGATGAAGATAATAATCTGTAACTTATTAAGGGTTCGTGAAGGAGGCGGTGTGGGGCGGGGAGAAGGAAGAAATAGGGAGCGGATATCAGGGTCTCAAGTGGGAAGAGAATGCTTTGAAAATGATGATGGCGGCATATGTGCAAATGTGAGTGACACACTGGATCAATGTATGGATTGTGATAAGAGATGTAAGAGCCCTCAATAAAAGTATCTATTAAAAAAAAAGAAAAATTCTGGTACATACACACATGCATATATACTATACATCCCTGTAAAACAGTGACGAAATTATGAAACACCTCATAACGTGAAGGGATCTGGAAGGCATGATGCCGAGTGAAGTTTGTCAATCACAAAAGGACAAATACTTTATGAGCCCATTGCTGTAGGGACAAGCAGCAAAATGGGCACAAGCTCAACCTTGTAGGGCATCCAGTTTTCGGGGTGGTGGGTGAGGGCGGAAGCAGGGCAGACAGCCGGATAGAAGGGCTGACCCGTACTAAGAACCATACACCATGCAGCTCTAGGTAAGTATTTTGAAGGTCACTGTCAGAGGCCACCTCAGGTCAGCTGGGATCAAATGGTTAAGGGAGGGTAAGGTGATATTGTCTCCTGCTATGTAAATCTATGATGAAGTCCCTATGGGGATGAAGGATATGGATGCGGGGGCGGTGGGGGGCGGGGGGAGTCTGGAGAGGGGAAAGGGACCAAACAAATGCATGTTTGTTGGTAGGCAAAGTGGGAGGGAGGACTAACTTCCAGCTGGGGGATAAATAACTGAAAATGCTTTGGGGGACCCTAGGCGGGGTGGGTGGGGAGTGTCTTTGGTGGTATGCACTGAATGGACCACATTGACCGGGACTTCTGGGTGCATCCTGGGGGCGCAGGCCAGCTGCTGTGGCATGCTGGGACACTGAACCATGGATCTCCAAAGCGCCTGGCATGCTCCAGAGGCTGCCCCCATGAGACCCCCTGCAGAAACTCCAGCGGGGGAAGTGGACCCTGCCTCAGACACACGCGTGACCTGAGGACTTCAGTCATGAAATACATGGTGTCTGAGGACGTGGAAGACAGCTGTATTAAGGTTGTTGAACTGCCGGTAGGCAGACAAACATGGTCTTGGCACATCAACGCCCGATATGCTGTATTAAGATATGCATTTTTACAGCAAACCTGTGGTGGACATTTTTAGTGATTATTACTGTAATTTCCTGGACAATTAACCCTCATTGTTTGTGTAAATACTGTCCAGCCATGAAAGGATTGATTTTATACAAGTGAATAATTCAGGTACTGCAATATGGAGTTAGCTTACATTGGCCCAATATCCCTCTCTCAACAGGACTTTAAAAAATTGGTACCAGGAGCTAATCAAAGACAATATTAACAGAAGATAGTTATGCCCTAGTGCAGAGGTTCTCAACTTTGTTAATGCCGTTACCCTTTCATACAGTTCCTCATGTTGGGGTGACCCTCAACCATAAAATTATTTTTGTTGCTACATAACTATAATTTTGCCACTGTTATCAATCATAATGTAAATATCTGATATATAGGATGTATTTTCATTGTTACAATTGAGATAGTTTATTGTGCCAGCCTGGCTGATAAACACAAGGGGATTAACTGAAGGGCAGAGAGATAAATGGCTTAGTGAGTCTCGCCTTTCTTGTCTCTCGCTCTGTGATCATGGGACCAGTGTGCGGCTGCCTTGCTTGTTCTGTGCCTCAATTTAAAGGCTACACTACCTGTGGGACGCCTAGCCTGTAGACTGTGTTGCTGTAAGTTGAGGTTCCTTTAAGACATCTCTGGAGCTGGGGACTGGCGGTTGGTGTCCTGCCTTGTGATTGGCTGCTGTGCTGACATAGCCTAGCTCTCTCTACAAATAGAGGAAGATCTGGCAGCAGACTAGACTTGAAGGACTGCTAGTCTCTCAACTTTCTCTCACGGATGTGAGTTGCACTGAGCCATTTGTAGTGCTTTATAATTTAACTGTTTATTTCTTGTATTATATATTTATCTGTATATGATTTAACAGTTCATTTCTTGTTATATATCTAATTATCTTTATAAATAAATATATTAAATTATCAGCAATTTGGTTTTATCTCTCTAGAGAACCCTGTCTAACACACAAATTGAACATAATTAAGCATAAAGCATAGTGATTAATCACAAAGCAATATATAATTATATATTGCAAAATATTTATATTTTCCGATGGTCTTAGGCGACCCCTGTGAAAGGGTCGTTCGACCCCCAAAGGGGTCGAGACCCACAGGTTGAGAACTACTGCCCTAGTGGGATGATAGATAAGCCTTTCCACCATAGATTAACAGGGAGGTTTTGAAAGGGAGCCAAAGGCAGATGAAAAACAAACAACTACAACAGAAATAACAACAAACAAACATAGATCCAGGAATGGGCTTTGTGCTCACACTAACTCCTAGCTCTAACTTAAGAACAATTAGTTCTAACCTCATGGTCCCACTCGATACTCCCCCTCAGGAAGGAAGCACAGAAGATATGGGTGCAATAGCAAATTGTAGCAAAGGAATTAGATGGTGCCCAGCTATTAGATAAAGTAGTGTCTGGGGTCTTAAAGGCTTGTCTCCAAACAATCAGTCATGTAAGTGAGATGTCAACTAATTCCACATGGAAGAAACATACATCATCAGTTACCGGAGTCATATAATCCAAAGTCCAAGGAGGGATTACTATCAGAGCCTAAATTATGAGAGTTGTGGATGACAGTGGGAGCCCAAGATACATTTGTGGGAACTACATAGGAAATAAGCCTCAGTGATCTCCCTCCATCCATCATCGAGGGATAGAGGGAAAGTGGTTACCAAACAGAGTGCATTGGAGAGATGAGTATCCCCTCACTATCATGATCCTGATTCTACCTTACACATCCGGCTGGACCAGAGCATGTGCACTGGTACAAGGTAAGAGCTGGAAACACAGGGAATCCAGGACAGATAAACCCCTCAGGACCAATAATGAGAGTAGAGATACCAGGAGGGTAAGGGGAAGGTGGGGGGAAATAGGGGGACCGATCACAAGGATCTACATATGACTCCCTCCCTGGGGGACAGACAACAGAAAAGC